TCTCTCTCTCTCTCTCTCTCTCTCTCTCTCTCTCTCTCTCTCTCTCTCTCTCTCTCTCTAGTAAAGCGCCGAGAAGAATTAAGAATTCTGGATCAGCTTCAACTCGTGAAGATTAAGAGAAAAATCTGAACGACTGTCTACATCTACGATAAATATTATTACGAAAATGGATCTCTTTTTTCAATTCTCTTCGTATAAAAAGGAAACGGATCTTAACTCTCCTGTATATCGCGTATAAAAATAATGAAAACTAATCGGAGCTCCTAAACTGATAAACCTTGACCTTTATCATCTCGCCGCTTATCCATCCATACCAGCCCCGTCGAAACGTGGCGCAACAGTGTAGCGAACCGGGCAAGTGTGTTTGTAAGTGTCTCGTACACGTGCGTTAATCCGTTGCATTTAAACGCATAAAGTTGAGCTCGGTCGGTGAGCCGTTAATTAGCTTCCTCGTCACGGACGCACCGGCATCAAATGGGATGAACAACGGTGGATCGTATCCACCTTTCCTCGCCAAGTAACACGTACACGGCGGATTCGAACGATACACCGTATAAACGTAGGAGGGAAAGGGGGAGGGAAGAATTCGAGAGATCCAGAAACTCTCCTGCACAATCGTTCGTGCACGTTCGGCCAGCTGTCACAGGAATCTGAAATATTTCGAAAATTGGCCACGGCGTTTCCGCGTCTCTTGCGGTCTCGAGGGGGATGATTATGTTAACTCGACGGAGGGAGGGGAGGGGGAAGGGGTTGTACAGGTTGTTAACTTTAGTTGCGTTGTTATTCGTGGTATAGTTGTGCGGTCGTCGTTGTGGTTATTGCGCACGGGGGTGTGTATCCGTGTTTTGAATGCTTTGGTAATTGGCGAGAGGAATTGAAAGTTGAATTTCGTGGAATTTTTTGGGGAAATCTTTTTTTTTTTTTTTTTCTTTTTCTTTTGGAGCAGACATGATCGCGTTTCGATAATTTTTAAATATTGAAGGGTTTTAATCCGATTCGAATTTTCAACGAGCAGAAATCTCGTTTCGGATAATTTAATTTAATTACTTTAAATCGCGACGGTTGAAGTTTTGATCTTGAATTTTGGAACGAAATTTTGCTACGTATTTTATTCTCAATATTCAAGCTTGGGATAGATAAAGGATTATTTGGCGAGTTAATTGTAAATAGAGAAATATCGATGTAAAGATCTTATCCCGATGTACCTGTAATATTTTTCAAGTTTAAATTTTGAGTGAATTTGATATAAATTTTGAACATCAATCCGTATGAATCCTTGGAGATCAAGCTCAAAATTTCATCGAACCTATCTCCCTTCTAAAAAGAAAAAAAAAAAAAAAAAAGAGCAGATTTGGTCAACAACGAGATCCGAAACAGAGGTTTCAACTCGGTCCCTCGATTGTTTCCTTTTTCATTGTTGTTTGCCCGCCACTAACCGACAATTGATAGGCAACCGAAAACATTCCACTCTGTCCAATTCCGGGCCAGCTTGCAGCCACTACTCTGCATTCCAAAAGTAAGCCCGGGAAACAGTCGCTTGTTTCTTTGTTAATTAACGACCGTTTAATTACCCGGGCTGAAATTGGCCGCCGCCGGGGCGAACGATGACGACTCGTAAATTCGTTCAATTTTTTTTTTTTTTTTTTCACCCACCCCTCCCATAATATCGCGACAATTAGGCCAGCCAGTGGAAAATAATTAACGAAAATCGTCGATTGTTTAATTTAAACTCGACGCGTTGTATAAACGCGGGCTATGTAAACTCGACACCGTTTTGAAACTTATTATTCAATCCACGTGTATAATGGAATAGGAGATTAAGACAATTTTAACACATCTGTGAAAACGACGAGTGACGCAGAAATCTTCCGTAAGATTTTCCATTCTCATCTCTCTTTCCTTTCGATATTAATTAATCCTCCCCCTTTTCTTTTTAATTTCCAAAAGTATCAGATCCAAAAGTATTCGACGTCGAGTAGAGAAGAAGAAATACGATCTTATTACGAATTAAAAAAAAAAAAAAAAAAGAGAGAGAGAGAGAAATATATCGGCTAATTCTTTCCATCCGTATTTCCTTCTTTGCCCTCCCCTCCCCCTCAATTTCAAAGACCGATACCCCGAGGCAGTGCTCGATCGATCGATCGTTTGTTATTACACGCGAGCCGCGTTAATTCGGTTTCCTCCTATGCAGGCAGCTAGCTAACGCGAGAATATACTTTAGTCCCGGGGAAACGAAACGCATTGATAATTATTTGATATTCGCTCGGCCGCCGAATAATTACACCTGTTTGTCTGCGGCATTTAATACGGCAAGTATTATTTGATTATTCGGGCCGGTTCCCTACTTATCCGGCCCGTGTTTTATGAAATTTGGCCGGCCAAACGCGCGAAACCGATCGATCGATCTCAATCGAGTAAAAAAAAACCGGCCTGTCCCGATCGATCAATCTCAATCGAGTAAAAAAAAACCGGCCTGTTTCGCTCGATCGGAGGATGGGAGGAGGGGAAGTCTTTGGGAAAATAGTTAAAACGGCTTCGAAATATATTTTTATTCTGTTTGTTTGTTTTTATTATTATTATTATTATTATTATTATTATTATTATTATATAGGATTAATAGGATTTGAATTCAAGCTTTGGAATGCACGTGTAATTGATAATAAT